AGTTTTTAAAAATAATAAGCTGGAGACAGAAAAGCAAGCTGGGTTTGAATTCTAGCTTTATCTTCTTACATCATCTTAGCAAAGAATAAGCCAAATTTCCTTGAATTTAATAAGCTAAAATAAATTAATCTTGACTTAAAATCAGAGAAATACAGATTTCAGTGTCCTTCGCCCTCAAAAGCATTGATATTCAGCAGATCCAGGTCAGAGATCTGCCGGCCCTGGATCCCCTTTCCCAGTGGCAACAACTGGCTGGCACTTGTAGAGCTGTTCCATGTGGACAGAGCATCATGTCTGGTTCCCAATGGGCCCCTCTGCTCCATCTTCTACTTGACACATGTATTCACTCATGCTTTCTTTCCTGTTGTCTGCCTGGTCTCTGAGAGCATCTGAATCAGAGACAAGAGGCAAATTCTTAACAACAGGGTGACAAGCTTGTGCTCATTGCACCAAGGACCAATCCCAGCAGTGCAAAGCACAGAATTGTTGGTACTGACCACAGGTTAGGCTCTGACTGGCTTTTTATAGGTTCACAGAGACATTGTCTGTGATGGGTTGACTGTATCCCCCTAAAATTCATATGTTAAAGTACTAGCCCCCAATATTCCCAGAATGTGACCTTACTTGAAAACAGAGTATTGCAGATGTAATTTAGTTAAGATGAGGTTATACTGGATAGGCTAGGCCCCATAGTCCAACATGAGTGGTGTCCTTATAAAAAAGGGAAACTTAGGGGCATCTGGGTGACTCAGTTGGTTGAGCATCTGGCTCTTGGTTTTGGCTCAAGTCATGATCTCACAGTTCATGGATTCAAGCCCTGCATCAGGCTCTGTGCTGACAGTGTGGAGCCTGTTTGGAATTCTCTTTCTCTCTGTCTCCTTCTCTCTCTGTCTCTCAAAATAAATAAATTTTTTAAAAAATTTAAAAGGGAAATTTGGACACAGACAAGCACACACAGAGAGCGTCCTGTGAAGATGAAAACAGAGGTCGAGTTGATGACTCTACAAGCCAAGAAACACCAAAGACCACCAACAAATACCAGAAGTTAAGAGAGAGGCCTAGAGATCATTCCCTGAAAGCCCTTGGGAAGAACCAGCTCTACCAACACCTTGATCTCAGACATACAGCCTCCAGAGCTGTGACATAACACATTTCTCTGGTATAAGCCACCCACTTTGTGGAACACCATTATGGAAGCCATAGGACACTCCCCCAAGTGGCTGCCCATGTGCCCACACAAGTGAAACGCAGAGCTGACAGGTGAGCAGTTTCTGGAGACAGACCAGCAAGGCCGTCTCTGCTGTTTCCTAGTTCTGAGGACACAGGCAAATTCCAAACCAGACTGTGTCCCTGTCACCTCACCTCTGCACCAGAAGTAATAACAGAATCCACTCATAGGCCTGCTGTGCATGTTAATTTGGTTAACATCTGAGAAGCCCTTAAAACAGAGCCTTTACTTGGCAAATGCTATGTTTCTTCTTCTCCCTCTTCCCCTTCTTCCTCTTCCTCCTCTTCCTCCTTCTCTTCTTCCTCTTCTTCCTCATCTTCCTCTTCCTCCTCCTCTTCTTCTTCCTCTTCTTCCTCCTCTTCTTCCTCCTCTTCTTCATCCCCTTCTCTCCTTCCTTTTTCTTTTTCCTTTTCTGCCTCTTCTTCCTCTTCTTCCTCCTCCTCTTCCTCCTCTTCTTCATCCCCTTCCTCTCCTTCCTTTTTCTCTTTTTCCTCTTCTCCCTCTTCTTCTTCCCCCTCTTCCTTTTCTTTTCTTCCTCCTCTTTCTCCGCTTGCTCTTCCTCGTCTTCTCCTTCTCCTTCTTCCTCTTCTTCATCACCGATCTTGCTGTGGCTATAGCTCTGTTCTGAAGTTTGGAAAATCTTTTTTTTTTTTTTCATCATTGTACTTCTAGTTTTTTTTTTTTTTTTTTTTTTTTT